ATCGTGGAGCTGTTCGAAGATACTCGAGATACACGTCTTAGGAAGGATCATCTGGAATCTGTGGGTTCTTCCATCCGGGCTTTCCCATTTCCGAGTGAATAGGTCATCTCGAATGCTCATGGTGTCCCATTGGAGCCAGTAACCCTTTTCCTGCATGACGTGCTTGGAAATCTCTTGCCATTCCGGCCTCACTTCTTTGGCAATCCATTCTCGAACAGTTTTGTCTCGTCAGGAAGGTAGTGTCATCCTCAGAGGCTGTTAACGACCGTATAACACCATGGTAAGATGATTCCTCAAATTGGCTGTCCGTATCCCTGGACAAGGGACCCTTACAGGTTGCTACCCTTCTGGTCAGAGGGAACTCGAAGCGTCAAGAGGTATGGGAGCTTATCTCCCTATCAGAGCTGTCCATAAAGGAGTCTCTGTCTTATCACGTCTGGTGGAAAGTTCTTCTTCTGGTAGCTGGGTATCCTTGTCTTCCTGGCGTTCGCAAAATTTGCATCCGGATGTCAGGCATGGTCTTCTTGAGAGGATATCTGCGTTTCCGTGACTCTTTCCTTTCCGATGTTGAATTTCAAAGTCGTAAGTTTGTAACTTTTTTTTTCCACTTTGCTATTCGTCCTTCTGGTGTTCTGAAGTTGAAGAGCCATCGAAGTGCTGTGTGGTCTGACCTGATCAAAAATTTGCGGCCATATAAAAAGAAGTAGTAATGATTAACCGCTTTGACCACTGCAAAGAGTTTTTTCTAGTAACGCAGTAAGTTCTTTCGGACGTTCCCAGGGACTTACGACGACTTATGACGACTTCTTCCTCTTGTACCTGGGAAAGTACTGCTCCTATTCCATGTTGGGATGCATCTGTGTCCAGTATAAACAAGCCCTCCTCCTTTGGATACGCCAGTACCTACCGGTGCGCTGGTCAAATGACTCAAATTTTCAAATATCAACGACGAACAAGGTCGCGAAGCTGTGGTTTTTGCAATAAGCAGCGAACTTACTCAAATTATAAATGAGCCAACCAGGATTCCTGACCGTGATGGAAAATATGATAGTCTTCTGGATCTATACCTAAAAACGAATCCAGAAACTAATACAGTCCCCGTAAGGTATCCATCAGAATCTTTTGACCATAAACGTATTTCAGTATTGAGTGAATTATCGATAAATGTTGGGGAACAGTCTAAGCCGCGCAAAGTTTGGTATTACAGATCAGCTGAATGGGAGGATTTTCAAGACATTTCCGAAATTTCCCCTGGCTACATATGTTTGTTTCAGCTCTAAAGATCCATCAACTTGTCCTTCTGAAGTCACGGAAGTTATTCTATTATTCATGGATGCATATATTCCTTTTTCAATGAAACGACCTTCTAACAGCAACACTTGGTTTAACAAAAATTGCGAGCTAGCGGCAGTGGCGCAAAAATCCCAGTACCGAAAACCGAACTAGGTTTGTTAATGCTCGCAACAGCTGCAAACTAAGGATAAATGAAAACAAAGAACTTCACAATCAGAGAATTAGGGATAAATTGCTTGCCCATCCCAACGGGTCTAGATCCTTCTGATCGGTACCTAAAGCTGTTAATCAGAACTTCACAAAATCAACAATTCCACTACTAACACAAGCGAATGGTTCAATTGCAACAACATCCATATATAAAGCAAATCTACTAGCTGAGCAATTTGCGTCCCACTCCACAGTCGATTTTCTGGGAAAGGCACCACCCACTATTCCCACACTAAAATCCACAATGCCGGAAATTACTTTTCGACAGCTGGTGCGACATACTGGTGCGCAAATGAACTTGCACCAGTATTTTCCAGACTTCTTAACCTGTCTTATAAGAATGGGGGTTTTCCTTCTTGTTGGAAGATTGCTCGCGTTCAACCTATTCCCAAAAAGGGCTATAGACCAGTCGCTTTGCTATCAGTGAGATAAAAAATCATGGAGAAAGTCGTAAACCACCATATTCTCAAATATTTGGAAGACTTTAACATCTTGAGCGATCAATATGGCTTTCGAAAACAAAGATCAACTTCCAAAATATCTCTACTTATTTCAATGACTTTCGCTCAATAAGCATATTACCATGTTTTATCTTCTTTTGTTGTTTACATTTTCGTATAAGTCATTGAGAAAGCTGAGAATAGCTACCTGAGTCAATCTTCCATCCCTAAAAACTGTGTTGGCGATCATTAAATGCATCGTTTTCGAGTGCAAATTCAATTAATTCTTTCATTAGCAATATTTTCTTAAAGCTTCAGTCGTGTAGATAACATACAAATGGGTTTATAGTAGTGCATAATACTAGAATCACCTTCTCTGAAAAGTAATAAAACTTTAAGCAGCTTTAAAAATATTTGGAAAGATACCCCTAGAAACAATCTATTATTCAGAAAAGTTAAAAGTTTTATTAAGAAATCAATAACATGTCTCAGCATTTGGTCAATTCCATCACAGTTTGAATTATTAAGGTCTCTTGAAGCATTAAAAACATCAGCGTCACATACGGGATTGATAAAAGACCTGATATCTCGAATAAGTGTATGAAGTACGACAACGAATTTCCTCTTCAGGTGACCGCGCCTGCATTTTAATTTGATACAGTAATTTGAGTTTCTCAAAAAAATACGAATGCCATGTGTTATTGAACTAGATTTAAATTTTATTTTTGGTTCGACAGACAGAAGAGAAAAGCATGAGCCAATGTAACGAAAAAGTATCTCTGAAAATTTTTCAAATGCAAGATCAGTATTTCTAGCTCCATGTACAGTATACCACTTTTCTTCTTCACTTTTTTCTCTTACAAGAATACAATCTATGGAACAGTCGATGTTTTAACCACTCAATACCCTAAACATTTATATTTAAATCACCATCGAACTACTTGAGGAAAATGTTCACATCTCTTTGTGAAATTGTTGTGACCGTGTTATCGAGTTATCAACTTCAGAGTAAAGAAATTGTTTCACGAATTGAAGAAAACCATGAAACACTTTGTTCCATTTTTTCCAACTTGGAGATGAATTTGAAATGTATTTCTGAAGTATTATATTACATAACCTGTCTTATTACATAACCTGTCTTTTAGTGATATTACGGTTGCATTATACATTTTCACGCTAACATTCATGAAATGAGCGATACCATCAGTTCAGAAGCTTTTATTCAAAATATCTCAAGAGAAGGAAGGATATACAGGCTCAATACCCACATGCCGTAATAGGCAGTTCAAACCAGGCCCCGTTATTTGATCACGTTCGCTTATTAAATATCACTTTTCAGAGTATGTTCGCCCGGCACGTGATGAAACGTGGAAATATGCTTGTATAGATCTCTTTTGAGGTGATGACTGGAATAGGAACAGGTAATACTCCTTATCTGCTTCGGTCGACACAAACTCGATGAAATTTTGTCTACTTAACGAAATACATTATATGACCTCGTTATTTCAATGCATTCACGTATTCATGTCATTTTTGTCACTGAAATATATCTCACTTTGATTCAGATGAACAATAATTAGAGGTTAAACGACTTACCTGTAAGGAAGTTCAATCCTCAATTATACTTCGATGGTCCCGTCCTCGAGATCACACTGTAGTTTATGTTTCACACCCTTTTTTGGCGTAATGTTTATCAATGAGAATTAAAAAGTGCCATCTGGGTCCCATGTTTCGTTATACCTTGGAAAAACAGGTCTCAATCGAAATACTCCTTTCATGAATCTAGATATTATATGATCATCTGTTATATGAAATAAAGTTTTCATTGCCGATCTATGTTGGTTGAGGGTGTTATAATTTCCCCCTGATGAGAGTTCCTTGCTGAGGAATTCAATTATTTTATTCGGATCAGCAATGAAAGCTTCCTCGGTTTCACAAAAAGCCCACCATTTTTTATATGTTGTGTTGTATTGTTTTAACGTATTGTCAGCTAAAGAGAAATCAGAACATCAATTGCTGTTTCTGGGATTCCTCCCTTTTGATATGCTATCCGGATAATATTGCGGCACCCAGGGTAAGGTGTCTCCATATTGGATGCGGTTTTCTGCAAGGAGATAAGAACAGAGATTCATTTGGTGAAAATAATATGGGTCTTAATGTCATATATTGTTCAATAAGTGGAAACCAAGGTTGCGATTTCCATACTGGGAACACAACAATTCCTCTGGCTTTGTCATTTCTAATTTTTTGAATGACCCTAGGCAAAAGGGAGAATGGTGGAAACGCGTAAAAGTATATTTTTGACCAATTTAAAGTAAATGCGTCTACTTGAACACTTTTTGTTTTGGTATGAAGCAAACAAATCTATTTGCGGAGTACCAAATAGTCTACAAATGTTTTCGAATGCTTCATCATCTAAAGAGTATTCGGTTTCTAAATTTTTTTTTGCGCTATGCTCTATCTGCAAGTGTATTGTCTTTTGTGTTGATGTACGACGCAAAAATAACCATTTCATGACTCTCCCACCACTCCCATATATGTCGAGTAATTTTATTTAATTCGATGAATTTAATTCCTCCCATTTTATTTATATAAGATATTGCAGTTACATTATCTATTCGCAACAGTATATTACACTTGGTGTAATTTTTCCCAAAGGATTGTAAACCCCTAAAAGCTGCTAATAATTCTAAGTAGTTGATATGGAAAGTTTTTTCTTTGATATCCCAGAATCCCTTTGCTATTTTTCCGTTACACATTGCCCCCCAGCCGGAGCTACTGGCATCAGTGTGAATTGTTAGCACATTAGCAGTGGCGGATTTAACAGGTGGGCAAAAGCGCGCTTGCCCACTGGGCCCCACCGACGAAAGGCTCAGCCCCTCATGCTAAAAGTTACACCTTCCCTTGTGGACCGCACAAGTTCAATTGTCATTCAGGGCCCCCTGTTATCAGGGGTTATTAAATATAAAATCAAATAACTTTTGTAATAAATCAGTTATTTAAACCGTCTACGATTTTCTCAGAGTTTGTCGAATATTCTGACTTATCAAAAACGTTCTAAAGGGGCCCCCGGGCCCGNACTGTTTTTGCTAATTTGCATTTTTCAGTAAAGTCGGAACCCAACAAATAGGTGTCAATTTTTTGTTGAGATGCAATTTTTTCAACAGCATCATTAAAATATTTGTAGAGTTGATACTTTCTGTGTAGTGAAATATTATGAAACATGTCTGTCAGTAATTTTCCGGAATCCACTAAGGCTTGGGTGATCGAAGGCTCAGTATTGCTATGTTCTAGGATTTTTGTAAGAGCTATTCCTTCGGCTTTCCTTATTATTTCTTGGAGGTTCTCTATGAACTTGTTTTTTTTCAGGTCTATTGGAGCTAATAGCGCCTGGACCTCTGGGTTTAGACTTGGAACCCGTAAACCTTCACAGTTTCGGGGCACAATCCACTGTTCTAGTAACTTTTTTCGAACCTCTTTGTCTAAACCACATAAAAGGAACGACTCCCACCGTACGGCCAACTCAGGAGCTATTTCTGCCCCTTCCTCTGTTTCATTTTGTGGCCTTGACCCAAGGAGGGCTTCAATGGAGAATTCCGGATGTTCTTGCTGGTTGGGAAGATCTGACGGCTGGCAAACTTGCTGAACACTCTGACTTTGTGCAGATAAAACTGATTCTTGTGAATCTGATGTATCCTGTGTGCTTTCAGAAGAGTCTGACTCACCTGTTAGAACCAAAATGTTATTGTAAGACTGGGTGTCGTTATTTTTCACTTTTTGTTTTTATTTTATTGCCACCGAACAAATGTTACTCATGTTCAGCTGGCTCATTTTTTGGAAAAAACCTCCGCGATGGCCGAGAACAAATATTACTCATGTTCAAATGCCGATCGCTTGCATTTCTTAAAACAGATTTGACTCATGATTTGAGAAATGTGGTCGTCTGCTTGATTTTGTTGTAGGTCCGTGATATTGATGTTACTCAATAGTCGGCTACCGTTTTAGAAATTTCTATACGATTTTAAACTGTTTCATTTATTTTGTACTTACTTGAGGATAATTTATCCAACATTAGTTCTAATTTTCTTATTTTCCTCCTAATTCTGCTTTGGAACTCTTTGATTTTCCGTTTTCTGTGCTTGGGCATTGTTATCGAATAAAATTTTCCGCTACACTATTCACTGATAAACACTTTGCCTGTACGAGCGTAAGAAACATAATGAATAGGACAGCGAGACGATATGGGAACGTGAGTCAGAGGCACTTTTTAATTATCATTGATAAACATTACGCCAAAAAAGGGTGTGAAACATAAACTACAGTGTGATCTCGAGGACGGGACCATCGAAGTATAATGAAACTTATTTTGGATCAATCTTGAAATCGGTATTAGCGAATCTCCCATACACCATTAATGCAAAAAAAAATGGCGCCTGATATTCATTGCTATGATTGAAATATTTCGATTCACATTTTTTTCATTGACTTTTGAATAGATACCGTGTAGTAAATTTGCATAGAATTTTTTTGTGACGTTCGCGACGTCAATTTCACCAAAGTAGCATTTTTAGCAACGTCGCACCACTTTGTTATCACAGAACTAGTTTAGTTTATTTTCAAATAATGATTTGTTTTCAGTATACTTATGTCTGTCAACCTCTTGTTATCCATTCAGATATCAGCCTTCAGAACTCTGATAAGCTTGACTTTAGTTTATAAGCGTTTTCTCAATATTAACGACAACCCTCAAAAGTCTAAACTTATGCGTACGAAGGATTAACTTCCGACCCGTTCTGGGAGGCGCACCTTTCGAAAATTCAAGGGGTTGCCATTTCCACACAAGTGAACGTCGTTTCTCAACTGAATTGTAAAAGTTTTGCTACACAGAAAGCCATTTCTTCATTACCTAACTGAATAGATTTTTTTTAATTTATCAAACGTCTAGAAGGCAATCATCACTTTTTTAACCATTGAACTGAAACCCAAGCCCACGTGTTTCAACCACATTAACAATAAACAAATGTCACCAACACAACAGGTGAGAATGACATGAAATTATTGTCTCAAATGTCAACACAAATATGACATGAAATAGTGCCAAATATCAACACAAATTTCATGTAGATATGCGAAAATGGCGGCTCACCTACTTTTATTATCGACTCAGAACGATGCGCAGACGACTTATAGTGTTATACTCTTCTAGGCATTCTTAAACATTGCATTTATAGGTGTATAGTCGAAGTAACCGGTATTATGCAAGCTTAAAGTGTCGGCGCTCTCAAATGCCAAAAAAACATTACAGAGAAATAAAGCCGCCGTCAACTAGTCCACGTGGACTGAAGAATTGGCGGTTTGTATTGGATGATTTTTACTAACCGAGTTTTATGATTGACAAAAGAGTCATAAAAATAAATTTGAAGTCATGTTACGGTGACTAAGTTACGGTGACTAATAGAATGCGAGCCATCGTGTTGTCAATGTTCACTTCAGGAACTGATTGGTGCAGTTATAATTACTGCTATTTCTGGGGTTTGGTGTTATTATGAAACAACAATATATATATATATATATACTTCTGCCNTCAATATCCTAATCAGACTGATTTATAATTTTAATATCCTAATAAGACTGATTTTCATTGTTTCATGACAATAGTATATAAAAAAGTTGTCATTCCAAACATCCACGGACGTTGTGTTTTGATTATTTCACTCAATGAAAATTCTGAAAATATTCAATGAAAGTAAAATCCCTCTGATTTATTTCATCTATTTATTTTTCCAGGTGAGCAACAAAATCTGACTAATTACAGTTATGGTAAGTGTCTGATTCATTAATTTTAGTTCTTGTTTTACTATCAAACTCAAGAGGAATTTATACCACCACTTAATTTTGAGCAGCTATATGACAGATGCATTGAATTTCCTAATCTAATAACATAACAAATTTCGCAAACTACTACTACTGAAGAAGACTGGATTTCAATTTTCTATAACGTGATGAATGTGGTCATAAACATAAACACGTATATTTTTTAACCATTGTTGTTTCTGATACTCTTTCAATATAGAAGCATTCTGTTAACGTTTCGTTCTGGTTTTCATCAGGTTTACATCTACAGCATATTCATCGAAGATACGTTTCTGAAGCATTAAATATGGCAGCCTACACTCGCGGCAAAACATATTTTCCTTTTGTATTTAACATATGGAAAAAGGAGGGTAGATAGTAAAACGTATGTTCTCGTAATTCATGTCTTTTCAATGCAATATGGATCCCTTCATATTCAATAGGGCTGGCCGTGATACAAATGCTACATACTTGACACGTCTATTCAGTATTCTTGGAAGAATCAAGTCAAACCGTAGATATTAAAGTATCAAGTAATTTATCTTTTAAAATGTTCGAAATGTTATCCACTATTCAATAAACAGTAATGAAGTTTACTCTCAAATTCCTCTCTGACATTCCGAAAAACTGACTGTTATTCTTCTCTTCAAATCTTGCATGTCTCGTAGGTGTATCTTATAAACAAACGTTTCTAGATGCCATCATAGGTAGAAGTCTAGAGGCGATAGGTCGAGTGGTCATGATGGCCATTCTTTTGTTCCTCTTCGACTAATCTGTCTGCTAAACAATCTGTCATTCACCCACTGTCTATCTCGAAGATAGTATATAATGTGGTGGAGCACCATTTTTTTGGAAGTTGCAATGAATAAAGATCCAATAATACTATTCTCAGGAAAACCTTCTCTGAATACTAAAAAATTGCAATTTTTCATCGGTCCAGTAGTGACCATTTTGTTTATTACCATGCACATTTAGAAAAACATACACGCATCAGTGGAGCAAATATTGTGCAAACTGTTTCATAAAATTGAGTTCTTCTGTTGAAATCGACGTCATGAAGCTGGTGAAGAATTTTCATTTTATATGGGTGAAATTTAAGTTTGGTGGTTT